TTTTTTTGCAAATTCAGTTGCTCAAGTTGTCCAGAATGTAGAAGGGCGAGATGTTATAGAAAACCATACTGAAGCAGTGCGAGTAACGCCTATCTTAGATAGCAACAATCACTCCAAAAGTAACTGCGCTGGGAAGAATACTTTGAAAGAAGAAGCTTTGCTTCCCTTTTCCCCAGATAAAGAGTGTATACCCCTCGAAACCGTTGAGCACGATCACGCAGCTTCATGTTATCACTTTCCTCAGCATCAAGTGCACACAAATATTAGAAATTTTATCACCTCTCTTTCTCTGCAGTACATTATTTCTGCCCATGGCCTCTGAGCGTGGTCTCCGAAGTTCTCGATAAGTCGTCGCGTACGTTCACAGCGAATCTCGTCCAGAATCTGAAAAGAAACTAAGACATTTGCTCCTAAACGTGCTGGAAGCTCGTAATTGTTTTCCATGCATACCTTTTGCGACGGGGCTCCCAACATTGTAAGAATGATTTTTATTTGACCGCTCACACTGCGGCCAGGGAACAACTCTCTCCTTAGAATCATTTCAGCAAATATGCAACCAACAGCCCACATGTCAACGGCCGTCGAATGTTCCGGCATGACGTAGAGCAACTCTGGAGCTCTGAACAAAAAATTGTCTGCAGATTGTTACAGTAATGGCTTATTCCTTTATACAAATAGTTAGGAGTTATAGGTCAGCGAAAATGGCACTGAAAATGCTCAAAGAGAAGTCTGAAGCTTTTTAGGGACCACGCAAAGTCTTAAAAAGCTCACGATAGCTACAGACTCATCATCTTTTTCTCGAAAGATAGAGAAATGAATAACTACTATTTTATCGCCTAACCATAATGACTGACACCAGACGTTTCATATAGCTGGAGTACGGCATGTAACGTCGATAGATGAGCATATTGAGAAGATTAACAGTTTTTTTTTGACTCATGAACGAGTTCAGCGATGACGCAACGCATAGGAGAGAACGCAGTAAAATGGCGTGCTCAGACTATGAAGATCCGATAAGGCTTAGTCTTAGGAGGAAAATGATCCCTTACGCGTGCTTGGACCATAGGTCCCGTCGAGTTTTCTGTGGGTATTTTATGAAAATATTATCAGAAGTTTTTAGACAGTTTGCGCGTTTCAGTGAGCGGTTGTCACAATATTGCATACAAGCGCTGTGCAGCGCTGGTGATTCTAGTAATCATACTAGAACCAGCGTCTCCAGATACAGAT